CTACGTTTACAAATAACCACAGTGTATGTTTGCGATGTATGGATCTACAGTGCCTGCTAGGTAGCGTGGCACCAGGCTAGATCAATATGCATTTTTTTCTTAGATCTCTTAGTTAACTGTGGTCAGGTGGAAGTATTGCTATATTGCTGATGAGCTTACATAACTACTTTTTTGTGTCAAAGGTAGTAGACAGAAATGGCAGAAAAGATTTATTTTCTGTGAAAGTAGATAAATTATCATTAATGCTTTCTGATAATCATTAATTGGTCTGCAACAGAAGACTGATTATCATCGTTGATAGCATGTAACGTACATTCTGGCTTGGCTGAGCCTTACTTCTAGTTCATAGCATCTTTCTTGCTTATATAATTACTTTTTGACCAAAGGAAGTTCACCTTTTTTAGGAAAATAAGTAGGACTTAATAAAGTCTTAAAATAAACCTTTCCTTAAGTGTCAGCTGTAAATTTTAACAACTAAAACTGGAAGATGCATGATTATCAAGGACTAAACAGAAATCTAAAAGACAAATATGGATTGACAGTATGCGTTTACTAAGTTTTTCTGAGAGTTTGGGATAGCTGTCATAGGGAAAAAGATTCATAAAGGAGGACCTCTTTAGTTTATACAGCTAGTGGCACATATGTTGTCTAAATCAAGGACTTGGTTGTATTCCCTGCTGTTCCTGAGCACAATCGTAACATTTTACAGTTTGCTTCCTTCTTAGTTTGTGTGAGATTTAGGCACACTATAAGTATCATGTGCCTACCATTGTTTTCCACAGGGGTAGGGTTGTTAGTGTTCAAAGGGGGAAAGCCTGGTGTTTGAAAGCTTTTTGAAATGCCTTGAAAGACCTTAGAAACGTGCTCATTTCTTCTTAGGCTCCTGATCCAGTCCCGAGGACAGTTTGTTGTGCCCCACCTCTTTCGCTGGTGTAACAGGGTGGCATCCAGCATACCTGTGCGTGTCTATGAAATGCTCTTGAAGAGTTGTTACAGCCGTACTGGAGCGAGTCATTTCTGTTTTGTGGCTCTGTATTTGGCTCTTGGAGGTGCTCCAGTACAAAAAAAAAAAAAAAAAAAAAAAAAAAAAGGCAGAAAAAAGACCCCCAAGGGGCCTTGGAAAGCTAATGATGTTATTTGAGTGCTCATTCAGTACTCATTTTAAAGAATGCTTCAAATACAGCGTGCATGTTGTTTGATTACCTGAGAAATTAAGACACTTGGCAAATATATAGAGGAGATATCTGTATATTACAAAGTAAATGATGTGATAATGTGTGCTATAAATACACATTGACAGCTATATGCATTTCTGTGGTGTTAACCTGTGAAAGTATGCATGCAGTGACTGTGTGCTTCACTGCCACTCTTCACACATACATGGCCATTAAATCACCTCATTTGCATTTTGAGTTGTGGAGCAAACCTGCCTTGTGTACTGAACCTCTGTGGAACACTGTATTCTGTGTTAATGCTAGAAAATACTTCATTCAGGCTATGTCAAACAAATAGCTTTTTTATAGGGTACTTGTGAAACTGTATCTGTCAGGCTTCTCCTGCCCCTCCGTACATTCTCTTTGCTTCATGCTTTGTCCTTTCTGTGTTGTCTCTTTCCCCGCAAAAGCAGAAATGGTTTCTTGTCAGACATCATGGTATTTCTAAGGAACAAAGAAGCTTGAAAAACTACAAAAAATGGCAAAATGGGTGTGTTGTCAGAATTCTCGTGTGCCCGTGCAAGCACACAGCTGCACATCTTTATACTGTGAGACATACAGAGGGTGTGCAGCTCAGTTAGAGTGTAAGGGCTGTATGCCTCACCCATTTCACAGGCACTGTCATGCCTGTTCTCATGTCCGCAGATTTCTCTGCGTACTTGAATGCTGATTATATGTGAGAGCAGTTTCAGAAGACAGAAATCAAAATTGAGATGATATGCATGGTAAAACACAGTAAAATGAGATAGAGAATTACATCTTTTCCAGCATATTGTATGTGTGGACATGTATTTAATATACATTTACTGCAATGTTGAATTTATATTTAAACTATCACAAGTATGGAAGGAGAATTATTTTCTTTCCATCTGATTTTCTTAATTATTATTTCCCTAGCAATGGAAGCCTTCAGAAGCATTTAGAGCTTGATTCGTGCAGTAACACAGCAGTCTAAGAGCTTCACATTGGGTGAAACCCAAGTTTGATAGATGTTAAGCATGATCCTTTATACCAGTGAGTCCTCAGTTACAGGGCTCATCTTGAGGGCATCAGAGGCAATGACTCTTGAGAAGAGTCATCTGCAAAATATTTGCAGACAGTGCTCAGGTACTTCCCTCTGTTACTTTACTCCATCCATGTAATTCCAAAAGATAAAAATGAAGGAAATCTGTGAGACAGCAGAGATTTGACTTCAGATCCATTAGCTCCAGGAAAATACCATGAAAAGAGAGGAACTTTTGGCGCAAAGCACGGGCTGAAATACACTTTCATACCCTGATTCAAGTGGAGGAAATTTCACTCTCTCAAACACTATTGCCAAATACCGGGGGGGGTTCATTTCTCACTCATATCTGTGGAAATAACTTATTTTCAGGTAGTAACACATTTACTCCATCTTTGCTCAGGCAAGATTCCCTTTGACATCATTAGGAGTTTAACCTAATTAACAATTCCATCTAACACACAAAAAGAGGTAATGACACATTTTAATCCTATGTGGATAAAATAAGGCATATTAAAAAAAATAAGGTCTGATAATCAAAAGATAATTCACTGGGTGGAGATGTATCGTGATAAAGAAGACGTGTATAGTTAAAGCCAGTGGAAGATTTGCTGTAAATTGAACTGCACTGTGAGTAACCTTCTGTCCACAATTATCTGTAGGAGTTATTCATAAGAAGCGATGCTATGGCCAAGGATCAATTAAAGAATCAGACATGCAGCTATGACTATGTTATTTTGGTGTGTTGCCACTTTTTTATATTCATCTCTATTTTTCTGTAACCTCTATGACATAACCACCCAAGTATATCAAGATGTCCTTGTTACCTGGTGTTCCCACTGTTAATGTCTGATACGAGTTTGGTCTTTCCGCTGCCAAGTTCTGTGGTAAATCCGCAAGCAGGCATCATTCATCATGTCCTGCTTTTCACCATTTGTAGAGTTCAATGTTGCAATAAGTTGGGTTCCTAGAAGTGACTCGGAGTTGGCTATGATTTCATTTCATCCCATAATATATTTGAAGGGCATGCAACTCTTCCACTCCTTTAACAAAAATACTTCCAAAGACATTGTCATATACTGTTTTGCAAATGTGCTCAGAGCCTCCGTTTAATTTTGCATTTTAAGATGCTAGGATTTGCATCTTAAGCATATTTAGCTAATCTGAGAAGGTGACACAATGTACCATCACATGGGATTTCTACATTGAAGTGATGAGCGTAGCCTGTTAAGAGATGGTGTCCGATTTGGAAAAGAAAGAAAAAAATTGAGTCAAGTAGCTCATGTCAGCTGCCATGAAGTTGCCATTTAACAGATACTTTTAGTTGATTATGCAATGTAATAAGAAACATGTTTAATATTTGAAGCTAAATAGATTGAAGGCTTTTGGATTTTTTTAAACTAGAAATTTGTACCATGTTTGATCAGTTGACTTAATCCGATTTTAAGAACTCTAATGACTCAGATTTACATTATTCGCAATTTCTTTTCCTGTTCTCCTTGTGTGGGTTTTTCATTGTTTTATTTTCATTCTGTTTGTTTTTGGCTTACTGGCAAAGGACGGCGCCACTTTAATAAGTATAAAAAGAAGGGTAGGTTTTTTAAAATTTCTTTTTATTTCTTTTGCGACATCTATTTAGTTTGAATAGTTACTAAGCTGTAAAGTGTAGTCTGTCTCTTTTTAAATTTATTCTAATGGATTTGCTGTTTCTGATGATTGCCCGCACAACAATAAGAGTTCCTACCACTGCTATTTTCTTTGTTATGTGTGTACTGTTAATCTCTGTATAAAAACGTAAAAAGCTGACAATTATTAGGTAAGTAAGGTATAATTGCTAGAAGTAGCAACTCTTGCTTTTTCTCTGTTGTTATTCAAATTTCAGTTGTTTGGGACTCTTCATGCTCCGAGGTTATCCAGAGGCTTATTGCTTGGGCAATAGTGCATAACGTAATGGTTTTTTGTCCATTGAATACTCTGCTTGAAACTATTTTCTTAGTGCTGTGTCCAGAATGCTCCCAGTGGCGTGAGAGGTTCTGGGAGCAATTGCAGTGGGGAAAACGTGAATTTTGGAGTGCATCTTGCTAAATAATTCAGTACTCCGTTCATTGCTGTAGAACACGTGGCCCACATGAATGAAGAGTGGCCGGCATATGCTGGTAATGTATAGGAGTATTTCCTCTCTCTGTGAATAAGAAAAACAATACTTGCCTTCCTAACTTGGCTAGAAGTTTGAGGAACTGAAAATAGTGCAAGCAGGCAGAAGCTCACTGGACTTTGAAGGGAAAGGGGAGAGGTGACGCTGAATAGCCTTTCTCCTTCGCCTGTCCGGCCCATGTTCATAGCCTGACAGAAGAGATGGGACCTGTGGTGAGGGTCTTCCGTGGCACAGTCAAACTGCTGAATGTGTGTCTTGTACTATTCAAATGACTCACTGCAAATATACGCAATACCAGATTATAGATCATACAAGTGAAGTAGGTTGGGTTAAACGTGATGATACCCAAAGCAGATTGGTTTGCAGAAAAAAAAACCGAGAGGAACAATAGTAGAGGAAAAACCACCATTTGTATGGCGTTATAAAGAGATCGTCATGAGCAATGGTACTTGTTAAAGCTAACCTATTGTGGTTAGTGCTTTACAAGCAAAACAAATAAATAAAACCATCACCTGCCTCCAGGAATTTACCATGTTAATACAAGCTGAAAGGGAATGAATGGGAAAGAATTGACAGATGTGGAGATATAAGGCAAAAATGTGATAGGCAGTGTTATAAACACACTAGTAGTGTGACTTGTCAGTTTTGGGCAACACTGTGGTAAAAGGCAGTTTTAAAGAGGAATAAAGGGGCAGATAGAAAACATCATGTGGATAATGTAGGGCAAGTGGGGCCTCCAAAGGAGACAGAGCATAGGAAAGAGCTCAAAAAAGCTCATTTTTACAGAATCACAGAATCCCTAAGGTTGGA